CCCCACTAACTATTAATTAGTATAATTATTTAATTAAAAAAATTATACCCATAATCTACACCCAAATGTTCTCCATAAATTATTCCCCTCATCACGCCAATTCAGTTTTTTTTCCGTTTCTTTTTTTTTTTATTTTTTTTTAATGTTTTTCTTTATTTTGATTTAAAAGAAGATTTTGTAATTATTTTTTTTATTTTTCTTTTTTTTCGATTTTTTATTTTAATTTTTTTTTCTTATTTATATTTTCATGTTTTTTATTTTAATTTAAATAAATGGTTTTATTCTTATTTTATTTTTTCATGATTTTTCTTTTTTCTTAATTTCAATTTTTTATAATAATGGTTTTTTTTTCTTTCCTATTTTTTTAAATAAAAACTACTCTGTATAAACATGAAAACCACCATGTATAAACAGTTATATAAACATGAAAACCACTCTATATAACAACTATAGAACATGAAAATCACTATGTATAACGACTATGTAAACTTTAAAATAACTCTGTAGAACAACTATGTCAACATAAAAACCACTTTGTATATACAATTATATTAAAATCTGAACAAAAGTTGTTGAAAACCACTATAAATTTATCAAAGACAAAGCCTGCATTATAAAAACCACTTCGTATAAACAACTATATAAACATGAAAACCACTCTGTATAAAACACATATATAAACATGAAAACCACTTTATATACACAACTATATAAACATCGAAAATCACTATGAATTCTAACAAGCAACCATAAAAAAATATGCGAAAATGAAGCTATAAAGCCATTATAAAGAACACCATCTTCTCTCCAATGAACCCTAGAGCATAGTCCGTGTAATCATCTTCTTCTCGTTATTTGAAACGTAAACCACTATTTGAAAAAAAATCACCATCTTCTTCCTCACATCAGCAATTCGGTCAAAAAATCATCAACAACAAAAACATTACCTAAATTAAAAGAAAAAAAAAACAGCCGTTAAAAAAAAAAAAAAAAAAAAAAAAAAAACTAAATCATTACAATAATCCAACAGAAGACCAAACTAATGCATATATCTATGTTCTTATGTTTTGTACAACACCACCTCTCTAAACCCAAACGGCTGACATCATCAATTTCATCTTTCAATTTGAAGAATTTAAAATAAATTTAATGAAAAATAGGAGAAAATAAAATCTCAGACCATGATAAAGATATTTTCTAAAAAGGGAAGAAGGAAATTAAAAATTCGGAATTAATCGGCGGGGGAAAATGGTGAATATTCCGGTGAGGTTCAAAAGGATGGCGGCGGCCTTCGACGAGATGGCTAGGGTTAGGTGATACGAGAGCAGCGGCAACGAGCATTCCTCTGCGACCGATCTCGTCAATTCCTTCTTCGAGAAGGAAATCAGAGAGCAAATTACAACAACCGACGATGACGTCATCGATCGGGGTGAGAATGGGAACCAGTTTGACGACGGCGACGAATCAGATCAAAACAACTCTCCGGATTTCGAACTCGAAGATTCTCTGAAGAAATTGTTCAATTGCGACCAAAACGACGCCGTCAGAAGCAGCATGCTGAGGTGGAGGTGGTGTTGACAGAAGTCGTCGGTGGCGACAATTACTCGTCGCCGGATTTTAAACGGCGGCTGATGGCTCGGTTGTGCAGCGGTGGCTTGGACGCCGGTGAGCTTCTTTCTTAATTGGTTAAGGTATCGAATTTTTAGATTAAATATATATTAAACCTAAATTCTAACATTTTCTGACGATTTTTTTTATAAGCATCTGCAAACCGAAGTGGGAGAAAAGCGGCCGGATTCCATCGGGGAACTACGAGTACGTCGACGTGAACTGGTCCTAGAAGATGAACGAGCGGCGACGGCTGATGTGGTGGATGACGAGGAGGCAGGCAGAGGCGGTGATGATGGGGAGGTGGTGGAGCAGGATCTCTCACCCTCGGCGAAGAGGGCCGAGATTTGGAGAAGAGATCGCAACTAACGTGGAGAAAGAGAGGCGGCTACTGTTAAAAAGAAAAGAATAACAACGTGAGTTATAGGGTTAGGTAAATGGTATAATAATCAAGATTGTAAAAAGCGGTAATCGGGTTGGAGGCGGTCAGAGACCGACTCACGATTAATTGGTTCGGCGGTGATTAATCGGTGATAAATCGGAAATAAATCGATTTTTAAAATTTAATTTAATATATTTGTAGATATTATTTATAAATACTCAAAACATAGATAAAAAAATATTTAAACATAGTTATATCTCCATCATGTATATATTCTAATAACATAATAAAAAATTAATAATAATAATAAGATCATAATACATAAATATCCTTATAAAATATAAATAAAAAGACTTTTTGTTTTTTAATTTACATACATTCTTGGCATACATTATTAGTTCTTTAAAAATAATAATTAACATAAACAAAATAAAGCATAACTTCATATTTTTTTTTATTAAAGTCCCAACTTTTATTTTGATTTAGAAAAAAAAAAAAAAAAACCGATTTTTGACCGATTTTTTGTCGATTTTTGCCACCGAAGTTTGACCCGCCTTAAAGGTTTGACCGCCTCGGACCGCCTCAAACCGCCTCACAGGCAAAAAACCGATTTTTGAAACCTTTACAAAATCGTAAAGGTTTTGGACCGCCCCCGCCTCGGCGACCGATTAATCGGCCGCCTCGACCGATTTTTAGAACACTGATAATAATTAATTAAATTATTTATGATTAATTAAATAATATTTTGGATTTATCTTAAAAAAGGAAAAAAAAAAAATTGGACCTCTCTTAATTGGACATTGCATATATATGAGGTGGGTTTGTGAGATAATCCCTTATAAATAAATCCAAACTCAATGTTTATGATAAAATTACCATAAATCCTTTAAACACGATTTCTAATTGTAATTCTCATTTAACTCTAATTTCATCATTTTTTACAACAAAAATCAAATTTCGACCTTTTTTTCAAACTTTCTTTTTTGTGATTTTTTTCCATCGTTGGAGACTAGCGCTGGCATTGTTTTTACTTTCTATTTTTTCTTTCCGCTGCCAGTCTCTGACAGTGTTGATTTTTTTTTTCATCCTTTTTTTTCCGCACTGACCGTCGACGGTAATATTACTACGGTTGACAGTAAAATTATTGTAAACACAATAATATTAATGTCAACCACATAAATATTGTAATTTTATTTTGACTTTTTTATTTTGTTTGCTTTGTTGACCAGTCCACGTAATAATATCACTCTAGTTGACAGTAATTTACTGTCAACCACATCAATATTATTTTTACCAATTTCCGACACTGTGTGGATAAACTTTTTACCTAAAAGGTCAAACAAGATTATTTGTAACCAGTTTTTAACATTGAACTAATTTTGATTGCCCGCTGCAATCACTCCGTTGTTGCCCAACGGGTTGGCTGAAAGTAAAGAATCTGAACCTCTGGTTACTAAAAAAAACTTAAAAATTTATCCTACAATTAGGATTCGAACCAAAAACAGTTTAGATATGACAAATGCTAACATTCAGGACAATGCAAAACTTCAAGTTTGGGGATGGAAAAAACACTTTTTATGTGATTTATATGTTTTAGATTGCATGCTTTAGGATATTTTTGAAAACCACTTTTTATGTGTTTTATATGTTTTAGATTGCATGCTTTATGATTTTTTATTCTTTTTAGTCGTTTTCATATATTTATTGTTTTCTTTAAAATTAATGTTTGAGTTGAATGCATCGATGAATTATGATGAAGAAAGATGGCCAATGTTTGATGATGATATTACTTGCTTTGTTGTAGCTATACTTGAATTTTGGCGAGCTTTCGATTCAAAGTAATTTAGGAGTGAGTTATTATTGAGAATCCTGAATTATGTGTTGCTTTTGTTGAAAATTTTGTTTTTCAAACGTAGAGTTAATTTATGATATCATATGATGTTCGATTTTAGAACACACCTTAGGAATTTGCTAAGTGAAGTATTGAGCCGTTGAGTGATTTGGGATATGATTTGGGCCTTATTTGAACCATCTAAGCCTTTCAAGCCGACATTTTTATCGAAATTATCTTTAGAACCTTCATTTGGGCCTCAAAGAAAAGGAGTTCTTTCTTTTAGCCAATGCGTGTAAGGTAGAGTAGATGGAGATTCTTGAAAAAAATCCCTTGGAGTTTGGTTGGAAAATTTGTTACGTTTTCCTTTTTCTTAGAAAAAGAACGAAGAAGAAGAGAACTAGAAGGGAAAAGGAGGACATGCGCAAATATTCGAATAAAAACTCGAACCATACCTCAAGAGAAAAAGTGGAGACTTTTGAACTCTTGAGAATCGAGTAGGATAATAAGTCATTAGAGGTGAATAAGCTATTCCAAAAAGCCAAATCTTCAAATCTCTGTGAAAACACCTCGATTTAAGAAGAAAAAAAAAGCATCTTGCTCAGTGCAACTCTTTATTCAATAATGAGAATCGAAAGGAAAAGAGTAGCCACTTATATACCCATATTTTCTACCTCCCACCAAAGAGCCCAACAATTGAAAGCCAAAAAGTCCCAGTGATCCCAATAGCTCAATTATTCGAGAGTAGAGAAATTCGGTGAGTCTTTGGAGTCTAATATTACTATGTAAGTATAAATTTTCTCTATTTTTATATTACAGATATTAGATGCTTGAAGCGATAACATGATTTTTGGTTCTTGGCAATGGTGATCAGTTAACTATCATTGAATTTTAAGCTTGTAAATTTTTGAGAGGTCCCATGACAATTTTAAGCTTGTAAATTTTTAATCTATGTGATGAGATGACTCATTTATTAATTTTGTTGCTTTACAAGTTGGTAGTATTGCTTGAGGACAAACAAAAGTTCAAGTTTGGGGGTGTGTTGAGTTCCTCGGTTGCTTACCAAATCAAGCTCAAACACAAAACTCGATATAAATGCACAGGAGCTTGATCACAACCAGTTGTTCAAGTCGAGTCGACTCGACTCGATCGTTTTCACCCCTAAGTGTAATATATTCAAAAGACAATACAAGTTTTGATATACTTAAAAAAACTAAACATACCCACACAAAGTTAAACAAGAAACAAGAAAAGGTGGGAAAATAAAAAATAAAAGGAAGAACTTCAACCCTCACTTAAATTAGCAAAAATTAAAATTCAACAAACAAAACCTCTCTAGCAAAGTAAATACACTTAATGTACCCTAAAACAAGGAGCTCAATTATCCTCAAGAAATGCCTTCAAATTATTACAAGAACTCCCATTCTCATCCATAGCTTCCCTCGCCAAACTCTTCCATTCCCGAGCATTCGCTCTCAACTCCCGACTCCTTTCGCCACCATCCATCACTTCCTCAATGCACCTATTTATCTCACCACTCTCCACCACCCCATCTCCACCAACTCCTCTCACTCTAACCCCACTCTTCCACACATCTTCTATCAACTTCGCGTTCGTCCCTTGATCGGTCCACTGAGGAAAAGCCACCACCGGAACTCCGCTAGACAAGCTCTCCAGAGTCGAATTCCACCCGCAGTGCGACACGAAGCAACCAACCGAAGCGTGCGTCAGTACCTCGAGCTGCGAACACCAAGGTACAAACTTTCCTATCTTTTCGAGTTCATCTAAACAACTCAACTTCTCCTCCTCCTCTTCATTCTTGTTATCCTCGTTTATTCGTATAACCCATAGAAATGGCCTATCGGATTCTAAAAGCCCTTTCGCTATCTCCTCCATTTGTGCTTTCGGTAGCTTGAGAATGCTGCCGAAAGACACGTAAACAACCGACGATTCCGGCTTGGCGTTGAGCCATAATTCTACGCTGTTGTCATCGGATTTTTCGAAAAGATCGCCGCGGAATGACTTGTCTGAAGGGGCGGAAGGAATCAACGGCCCCACTCCGATTAGCTCGTAGTTGTCGATGGATTTGAGCGCGTGGGGCTCCAGTGCCTCGAAGGTGTTGACCAGCACTTTGGGTTTTGTTTTCTCGGCGTCTAGTGTTTCGAGCTGCTCCTTAAAACTCGGAAGTTCGACGCTGTGCTTGTCGGAGCTCGACGGAAGTATGAACGACGGAAGGTCTCGTTTGGAAAAATTAAGGGCGGGAATTCCCGGGAATTGGATTTGCCACGTGGCGTCGTTCGAGTTTGCTGCAATTTCATCTCCGTAGCCGTTGAAGTAGTAGTAGTATATATTGAGGACGGTGGCGGGTTGGATCCAGAGGAGGGCGCTCGGGACGTGGAACTCACGCGCCACCTCTGGTGCCCACGGGAGGAGGAGGGTGTACACCAGTTGGGTAACGGGGCAGCCCTGCTCGGCGGCGGCGAGGATGGTGTCTCTCAGGCTTTGGGAGCCTCTGCTTCTTATCTCCGTCATGTACTTTCCGGCATCGTCGTTTCCGGGATTGAACCCATCGTCGTACCCGTCGGAGAAGGCGGCGAAGGTGACACCCTTGGGCAGTCCGGCGGCGGTTCTGGACATGCGCCGCCGTGCGTAGAGGCTGGTGGCGAAGGTGACCTTGATGCCCATGGCGGTCAGCCTCTTGGCGAACTGAAGGGATGGGTTGATGTGGCCTTGTACCGGAAATGTAACTAACAGCACGTGCCGCTGCTGCTCCATATATAATTGTGTGTGTGTGAATTTACGTGCGTGTGTGTGTGTGAGAGAAAGAAAGAGAGAGATTGGCGCTGATTCTAGTGGGTGCTGTGTGTGTGAGAGAGAGAGAGATGCTAATTGCTATATATAGAAAGGAATTGTGGAAGTTTGTGGTTGAGATTGGCGCTGATTCTAGTAATTTTTTTTAGTTGGATTAATTTCAATTTAAAAGTCAAGTTTAATTTGTGTACATAGATAGGGTTTAGAAAGTATGACGTTTGAGATGACGAATCCGATATAAACGTAAGACAAATTTGAGTGGACAATAGTTTGGTACTTGGTTCAGTGTGCCAGATAAATGATAGATGCAACGCAGGAAATTCTATGCTACACCTGGTGAATATAATTAGGCACCCTAATTAATAAAATTCTCACTACGAGTTCAGTTATGGCCCAATGAGTTTTAGAAGTATAATTATAAATAATAAAAAAGAACATATGTCAAGAAAAGAGCCACCCGGTGAAAATCACTAGGTGTAGCATCGTATTTCTCATGCAACACACACCTCACAGCACACATGTCAAGGTAAGATATTCGTATACTAACTCTTATGTTTTTGGGTTAATGAGAAATAACTCCTCGTTAGTACAAATATTAGGACTAACCACCTTGAATTATTTTTAATGGATCAAACCCCTTCACAATTAGTAATTACTGAACTACCCCATAATTTCTAATAGCGATGACCCTCCCTACTATTTTCCCTAAAACTGCATATTTTAACGTCAATATATTATCTCCCCAATTTTCGCTATTCAGCTATATTTGTGCCAAAAAAATAGCAAAACAAATCTGCAAATATATCGGATCATTTCCCAGTCGCAACAATGCCCTAGTTTCTTACATTTCATAAAAAAAAATTAACATTTGTGTGGGAATCATTGAGAAATACAAGTCGGCAACAATGGTGAAGGGTAGCAAGAAGAAGACATGTAATTTCTTATACACCCATCGCTCCCCTCGACATCTATTAACTTAATCTATGTACATTTACCACATAATTTCTATTTTTGACACCCTCTCAGCGACTCCAAAGGACAAATCAAAGTCTCCTACATCAACGGTATGCAACAGTACGCAACGACCATATGCGACGGTTCAAAATTCTTCCGTGGTTGATTCCTCAAAAATGAAATTTGTAAACAAGATTGTTTTTTAGATCTACAGATCTATGGTCGCACTATTTGTTGAATCATAAATATTTGTTTCCTATGAAATTTATTTTATCAAGAGTCTACAACAATGAGGAGATCATTGTTGTCGAAAAACATAAAATGTTGTGGTAATCTACACTCAGAGTCAACTATAAAATCGGATAGTTCACTATAGTTTTTCCAAAGTCAACTATAAAAATTAGATAGTCAACTATAATTTTTACGATGTCAACTATAAAAAATTGGTGGTTAACTATATTATTGCCAGAGTCAACTACAAAAATTAGATAGTTAACTATAATTGGTCCGATGTCAACTATAAAAGAATTGGTAGTCATCTATAATTTTTCCATTAATTCACTATATTATTTTTCAATTTAAGATACTATGGTGTTATAAAATTGAATACTCATGATAAAAATCTCACCTCCGGTGAAAACATGAATTTCATAGAGTAGAAAATAGATTGATTTCAACGACAAAAAAATGAGATGTAGAAGAAAAGATGAAGTAGTGAGATGAAATAGAAAAAATAAAGAGAAAAAATGAAATAGAAACAGACGAGAACAGAGGAAATGAGGGAAGAGAGAGAGGGAGAGAGAGAGAGAGAGAGAGAGAGAGAGAGAGAGAGAGAGAGAGAGAGAGAGAGAGAGAGAGTAACAGAAAAAGATACGAGAGGAAATTGTCGAAGAGAGAGAAGAGAGGAGAGAGAAGAAAAATAATAAAAGAACAACACGTCAAAATGACGGTTGAGAAGAGAGAGAGAGAGAGAGAGAGAGAGAGAGAGAGAGAGAGAGAGAGAGAGAGAGAGAGAGAGAGAGAGAGAAGAAAGGACAAAATTGGAATAATAAACACGTAGGGGGGTCTCACAATTCCTAATGTTAATTTTAGATTTCTTTACAAATGGTAAATATTAAAATGGGCCTAGACTCTATTATTTTGTGTATTGAGGGGGTTATCCTTCATTTTCCCTATATTTTTTTATGAGGCTTTTATAAATAAGCTCGTCATGCACTATTTATTTAGGGTCTTTCTACGGTGAGATTCCAAGAACACGACTTATATGAGATATCCCTTCAAATTGTGACACGTGTCCCAACAACACAACCTATTTTTTTCTCATTTATGTATTGTCGCAAATACCCTTTGTACAATTATTATTTCAAAAAAATCGGTAATTATAAATTATTAATGAAATGTCAATTTTACCCTCTCTATTTTAATGCAATTTTAAATCTATATTTATTGCTTAATTTAAATTTATAAAGTCAATTATATCATTATTCGTAAAAATCATGAAACCACACATCCAAAATTGAATCAATTATTCGTAAAAATCATTAAACCACACATCCAAAATAGAATCAACCTGAATTCGAACTTGTGGCCATCTAAAAGTATATAAGAAGACTTACCATTAAGACACAACTCATAATTTAATTGACAATTAACTAACAATACGAGAATATATCATAAAGATACAATGTATAATAATTATAAAACTTATATAAATAATGTTAAATAAATTATTAATTCTCATATAATTATTATTATATATTAAAAATATTTCATACTAACAATATATAAATTAAAAATCTAAGGAAATGTTGACCAACTCGTGTAATTTAAAAATGAATTTCGAAAGAATTTGAAGTTTGAATTGAATCGTAAATTGTAAGATTTGAATCAATTAAACTCATGTGTTTTCAATTTAAAAACAATATTCAAAGATTTGATTGATTAAGCTTAACTCATTTCAATTCGTAGACAATATTCAAATATTTGAATCGGTTAAACTCAGTAATTTACAATAGCGTATTAATCAAACTATGTATAGTTAAAATTTAGTATCTTTTTTTTATTGAATTTTGTCATAAAAAATAATAAAATTTAATTCGTACAAATCGTAAAATTTAATTGGTTCATGGTTAGATTCAATTTTACGATTTACAATTTGATTCTTACGATTTTATGAATTAAATTGTTATTTTTTTGTTAAAAAATAATTAAAAGGATAGTAGACTTTAATTATAAATAGTTAACTCGATTAATACGTTCTTGTCAGTGGTTGAACTTAATCAATTCAAATTTTTGAATAATATTACAAATTAAAAGGACTTGCGCTTAATTGATTCAAATCATACGCTTTAATTAATCATATGATTTGATTCTTACGTAATTTAAGAATTATTTTTTATGATAAAATTGAATTAAAAATGTATTAAACTTTAATTAATAATAGTTAACTTGATTAAGACGTTCTTGTCAATAGTTGAGCGCGCTTAATCGATTCAAATATTTGAATAATGTTTACGAATTGAAAGTGCTTGAGCTTAATTGGTTCAAATATTATACTTTGATAAAATATTACGATTTACGATTAGGTTCTTACATGTGTTAGGAATTAAATTTATTATTTTTTATGACAAAATTGAATTAAAAAAATATTAGACATTGCTTATAAATAGTTAAATCAATTGTGTAACACGTTATGTCAATAGTTAAGCAATCGATTCAAATATTTGATTAATGTTTACTAATTGAAAGGATTTGAGTTTACTCGATTCAAATCTTAGTATTTTATTAAATTAAATATAGTATTTGTAGTATATAATTTTATTTTAAAGTAAGAAAACTATTAATTGGAATGAGTTATAATTTTTTCTTCTTCTAAATAAACATATTATTTTATTTTTTATTTGGATTTGTCACACTATCGATTTAATAACATAATTGAGTTTGGATTAAGTTATGCATTTTTTTTATATTTAGTTGAGCATTCTTTACATTTTTAAATGTTGGAGTTTATTAATAATTCTAATATTATATAATTAATGATAGATGTTTGGCGTATTGAACTGCAATTCTTTATATTTTTCAAACTTTATTATATTAAATTTGTTAATAATTTATTTAATATCATTTAATAATGAATGTTGCAATTAATATTTTATTTAACAGTATTTATACAATTATGGTTAAATATATCATAATAAGTTAATGTGTTTGGATGGTTATGAGTGATGAATGTACTAAGATGTCACAGGTTTAATTCCTAATGAATGCATTTTTTTCGATTATTTATCAAATAAAACTCGGTCACAATGAATTTAAATTAATTATTTAACTAAAATATAGTAGGGGGTAAATTTGACAATTCAATGTTAATCTATTTTATATTAATTTAATAAAAAAAAATATTCGAAGGTGGATAATTTAGTAAATTACTTCAATTTTTGGAACATAAGCCATGTTATTTTCCCAGGGTCCAAATTTAATCTTAGAAAATCAATGGTGATTAATGCATACCTCATATAAGTTTAGAACACACGTGGTCTCACCCTAGTCAAATCCATTTATTTAGTTTCTGATCAAATTTCTTTAATTTAATTTAATTAATTTCAATTTAAATCCGAATTTCATTAATTATTTAATTTTGATCTCTAATCCAATTTTGACTGTTATTGTCGATAAACCACCGTAGTTGATAGGACAGTTGATTACCAACACTAAACTATGTTTGAACCATTGTAGAAAATCACAAACAACAATCAATAAACAACAGACGATGTTAAAGGGTAAATTTGAGTGGACAATAATAGTTTGTCAGATATATGATATATGCACACACCTGACAGCACACATGTTAAGGAAATGTATTCGTAAACAAACTCTTTGATTTTTTTTATTTTTTTTTTGTTTATTTTTTATTTTTTTATTTTTTATTTACTATTTATTATTTAGTTGTTGTGAAATACAAAATTTTAGCTAGCCTCGTACACTGAATTTAGGAATTGATTACGTCAAACATAAAAACAAAAGGATTGTGGGGATGATGAGAGGTTTTGCAGTTTTGCATTGAAATATCATATACTTTATAATTTTACACTCTCATCTTCTTTAGAGTATTTC